GACTGGATGACTTCCCGTAAGCATTTAGAACGCGTTTTGAGCAGTTCTAAATCTCTAAACGCATCAAGCCGAGATGCCGTCTTGTCACGCTCTCGCTTAGACCAAGTTTTGATGAGGCTCGTCGAGCAAAAACCGTCTCTAAACTTTAAATCTAGCAGGGGGGGTCGACCCCCCTTTCCAAATCTCCAGACGACTCTAAACGCTCGCTTAGCCTTGGGTGAGGTCCGCGTATCAAACCTGCCATCAGCACCTGCCAAATTGAGCGATCCGCTCGCCATAAATGGAAAGCGACCTCATGGTCGTGACTTGCAGTCGTCGAGCGTTGGTCTGGCATTACGGATGGGAGGAACGGTTCTATTTTGCCATTGCACCGTGGCAGCGAGTGTGACCAGGTACGCTGATGGCGTTTAGAACTGCGAAATCTAGGATTTTGGCTTACGGGAAGTCATCCACTGTCCGGTATCGCTTTCTTGAGCCGCGAGGAACTGCCTCGGATCTGGGACAAAGATCCCTGACCAGATGGTATAGCACTTGCCAGCAATATCATATACGTCCCCGCGCACTATTCCCCGCATCGGGGCAACGCCGCCCCCACAGCGGCCAGGTTGATGTGGCGAGGGTGTTTTGCTCGAAAGTCAGCGTCCCTGATAACCTGATGATACTTTTCCCTGTTCTTCTCCGACCGCTATCGTCGGGGGTGAGTTCCGTCGTGGTCGGTCAGCATGGTCGATCATAGGACGGCCGGACATTGTGGCCAATTGTGGCAGCCGGGCGGCGCCCCACGGCAGGATCAAACCGGGGACTGTGCCTGTGGGCAACCCCGGAGCCGACCCCGCACGCTCAATTTTGCTAACGAATTGTTGTTTCGACCAGCACCGTGACCTGCGCCCTCGCCCCTTGCTCGTCGTTTTCGATTGCATCCGCGGGCGCGCACCCGTGGTCTTCATCGCCGGCGACGGCGAGCGCAGCTGCAAAAGCTCATGAATGCGCTGTGCCTTTTGCGCAATCAGCGTGCAGTACTCTTTTCCGTGCCGGACCGGCTCTCGCCGCTGAGCGTCGGACGTCATCTGACGGGAAGGCGATTCGGACCGGTGCAAGTGTGGCGGGCGGCGGCAGCGCTATCAAGGTCATCGTCTAATAAATATTGCACGCTGCCGGCACTTGACACTGACTTTCCTCCTCTTCCCCCCTCCGTCTCCTTCTTGCACAGTCGCCGCCGCTTTGCCACCGCCATGCCCGAGCTCAAGAGAGGTGAATTCGTCGGGTCGCTCGACTGCGGCACAACGTAGGCGTTCATCAGCCCCTATTTCTGCTGCAACCTAACAATTGTGCAGCTCTACCCGCTTCATCGTCTTCGACAAGCACGCGGAAATCGTCGCCCAACATCAGATCGAGTTCCCGCAATACTACCCCGAGCCAGGGTCCGTCCCATTCATATATCGCACTGACACAGGAGAACTGATCTAATGATCGCCCGCAGCTGGCACGAGCACGACGCAACCGAGATCCAGGAGAGCTGCGACGCCTGTATCAGCGAGGCCTGCAAGCGCCTGGAGGAGGGCGGTTGGAGCAAGGACAGCATCAGGGTCATTGGTGCGGCCTTCCCCTCTATCTATCTTTATCACATGCCAACTTCCTTACCCCGCATTCTGATTCGGAACCCCCCTGATTGATCTTCTCGTTCTCGACTCTCGGACGCTTTCAATATGGCGCCTCTCACGTACGCGCATGCGCAGGTATCACCAACCAGCGCGAGACCACCGTCGTATGGAGCCGCAAGACGGGTAAGCCCCTTTGCAGGGCGATCGTCTGGGACGATGCGCGCACGAAGAACCAGGTTGTGCACTATGAGCAGCAGCTGAAAAACCACGGCATCAAACTCGAATCTGGCGTTAAGAAGGGCGATGAGGGTGTCAAGGCGCTCCGAGAATTGTGAGTCCCCCAGTATATGCGCTGAACTCCATCGGGGCGGAAGTGTTGACAAAGGTGATCGTGAATAGAACTGGTCTCCCGCTCTCCACATACTTCTCCGCGATCAAGCTGCGATGGATGTACGAGCATCACGAGGCCGTGAAGAAGGCGTACGAGGAGGACGACCTCCTCTTTGGTACCGTCGAATCCTGGCTTGCATACGTACGTCCCCCCACCTCCCACCTTCCCTCGTGACCCATCCTTCTCCTCAGAACCTCCTCGGCGGCGTCGAGAAAGGCATCCACATCACCGAAGTGACCAACGCCTCGCGCACGCTCTTCATGGACATCCGCACGCTGCAGTGGTCGCAGCAACTCCTCGACTTCTTCGGCTTCCCGAAGAAGTCGATGCTGCCGCGCATCGTGAGCTCGTCCGAGGTCGTCGGCGACATCGCGTACGGGCCGCTCAAGGGCGTCCCTCTCGGCGGGCTGGTCGGCGACCAGCAGGGCGCGCTGGTGGGCAACAAGTGCTTGAAGCAGGGCGAGGCGAAGTGTACGTATGGCACGGGTGCTTTCTTGCTGTTCTGCACTGGCGAGAATATTGTGGAGAGTGAGCATGGGCTGTTGAGCACTGTGAGTCTGATCTCCCAGGTGTCATCTTCGGATCGATTAACTTTATCTCCCGCTACATAGGTCGCATACCAAGCGGGACCCGACGCCAAGCCTGCATATGCTTTGGAAGGCAGTAGTAAGTGAACCTGCGTTGTCTGTAGCAGCGCATCTTCTGACTTGCTATCTCCTATGCAGTCGCCGTCGCTGGAAGTGCAGTGAAATGGCTACGAGACTCAATGTACATGATCTCCTCCGCTGCGGAGGTCAACACACTAGCCTCACAGGTCCCCAACACCGGTGGCGTCTACTTTGTCACCGCCTTCTCGGGATTGCTCGCGCCCTACTGGGACCCAGGCGCGACCGGGCTGCTCATCGGTGCGTCAAGTCGGCTTAATCCTGTAGCATCAGAGCTGACGTGTATCGCATGCTAGGTATCACATCCTACACCACGCCGTGCCACATCGCGCGCGCGACCATCGAGGCGAACGCCTTCCAGACGCGCGCCGTCATCGAGTCGATGAAGCTCGACTCCAAGACGGACCTGAAGCACCTCAAGGTCGACGGCGGGATGACCAACGGCGACGTGTGCATGGAGATCCTCGCGGACGTCGGCGGCTTCCGCGTCATTCGCCCTGAGATGCGCGAGAGCACCGCGCTCGGCTCGGCGCTGCTCGCGGGCAGCGCGATCCGCTTCTGCGGGTGGGACATCACGAAGCCCGAGACGCTCGCGGAGGTCAACACGCGCGGCAACACCGAGTTTGAGCCGAAGCTTGCGGAGGCGGAGAGGGAAAAGAGCTGGGCGGGGTGGCAGAAGGCTGTGGAGAGGGCGAAGGGATGGGAGGAGGGTGTTGACGATCGGGCGTGAGCCGCCGAAGTATATAATGTATAATTATATCCATCTTTATTCTATCTATCTTGGATGTATCGCTAGTTAAATACCTGCCGAAAATCATACGCCTGGAAGCACTATTCGCTCCTGACATCTATGTAGAGATCGAGCAAATCAAGGGTGTTACAGGGAGACACGGGGACAAATGGATGTGGCTACGAGGGGCGGTGGCTACCGCCCGAATTTTTTGAGCGGGTCCGATTTCTTCTTACCCCCTCTCCCGAACCCACCCCGCCCTCTACCCCTACCTCTACCGCGTCCCCTCCCAGCGTCCTTCTTGAAGGGGACGAACCCTGGCGCTGTTTCCTTTTCAGCGCTAGTGTCTGGCTGTACAGGCACCTCCCCGTCTGCACCAGCGACTGGCGCTATCCTAGGTAGAAGGTATTTCGGCACATGTTTCATATGCGACTGTACCCTCGTTGGGTGGAGCGGCTTGTCATGACGCAGATACTCCAAGTCGAGCGGGTTATCTTCGAAATGCGCCTGACGAAGTGGAACAGCTCAGCAAAAACCAACTTCAAAGCTAAAACGAGAGAACCCACCTTGAGCTTATCAGAATTCAAAATCTCCGCTTTCAGCTCTTTAATCCTCGCTTCCTTGATCGCACTCCGCGTCACCGCTCGCAAAGCGTCCTCCATGCGGTACCTGAACGCCTCTACCTGCTTCGTATCGAACTTGTAGTCCTTGATCTTGCTCCCCCGCGCGCCCTGCTCCTTCTCAATCCGCGCAAACACCGCCTCGTCGTGCTTCGCGCTCTCGAGACAGCCCACAACCTTGTTCTTCCCCCACTGCTCGCGCGGGACGACGAACGACAGTGCCATACCCGTGCGCCCCGCGCGCGCGGTCCGCCCGACGCGGTGCGTGTACGAGCGCGCGGAGGTGGGCAAGTCGAAGTTAAGCACGCACGAGACGTTGATGAAGTCCACGCCGCGCGTCACGCCGTACTCGCGGTCGCCCCCGCTCTTGCGAGTTTTGTTCCGCTTGCGGGCCTTGGAAGAGGATGACGATGCCTCCGGGGCTGGGGAGCCGTTCGATCGCTTACGTTTCTTGGAGCTACTTGGTTGTTGGGAGTCCATAACGTCGGGTGTGGCGTCGTTTACATCCTTACGTTGGGTTGACACAACTTTGTAAATATGGCGATAACAGTCGTACGAGGGTCAATATCAGATTAGCTTGGGAAGAAGCTAACTTACATTCATCTTCGTCCTCGGCCTCCGAGTGATCTCCTTCCTCCTCCTGTTCGTCATCGGAGTCCCGTTCCCCCTTTCCTCCTTCATCAGCGGCTATAATGTAATCATAGACGCCCTTGTTAAATTCCTGGACTGTGTGGTATCTGATAGCATAGACATGTTACATGGGTATTACTCAGAGATTCGCAAGATTAAGGTGCGAACCTGGAATTCAATGGCAGCTCCGAATTTAGGACGCAGCTCTTGATTGAAAACTGTTCCAGGAAGAGCTTGAGGCGATAACAGCGGTCGACATCGTTTACAAAGATGATGCATTTTCCCTTGATGAGCTTCAGTTTGAGGATAATGTACGTCAGCAGGAATTTGTCCACTTCCGAGCATCTAAGTTCGTTATCAATATTTAGTTCTGTTAGTTTTAGATTGACTCGCTCACCGGACCGAATATTGGCTTAAATTAGCCGCTTCATCTTCATCTTCCTCTAGCTTCAAGATGGCCTGCGAAGCGGTGAGACTGCGCAACGAACAGCGCGAACTCGTGTAAGCAACGTACAGGATTCCTGAGTGCAAGCCCCTTCAGCATCTCGACGTCCTCCGTCATTGTTGCACTCATCAAGTATGACTGGAAAACCTTGGGCAGATAGCCTCCTGAGAATATTTGTCTTACATCTTCGTCGTGGCCGTAGGATAACACGAGGTCAGCCTCATCAATAACCAAGGAGTCTAAGGAGCTCAGCAACAGAGCCTGAGTAACTGTGTCAATACGCCACATAGAACAGGGATGAGACGCCAACCTTCGATTGAAGTAAGCTCAATACGCGGGAGGGTGTGCCAATCACAATATCCGGCCGGTCGGCGAGCAATGTCCTACGCAGATACACCGTAAGACTGCAGGACTGGCTGCAATGGAATGTGAAACATACCGCTGTAAATGCGTCATAGTCCCTCCAGCTACGTTCGCGATCCCGACCTCATTCTCGCAATACACCAGCAGCCCGCGCAGATACGCAGAAACCTGCTCCGCAAGCTCCCTCGTGGGCACAAGGATCAACCCCCTCGTAGCCTGCCTACTCTCATCGTCCGCGCCCAAATTCTGCCCGCCGCAGCATAATGAGCATCAGTATGGGAGCACTAGCACGCGAGACATACCCACAGCTTTAGCATTCAAGATCTTCTGCACCACCGGCAGACAGTACGCCGCCGTCTTCCCGCTCCCTGTCCGAGCCCGCGCTAGGATATCGCGGCTCTCGAGCGCGAGCGGGATCGCCTTCGCCTGGACGAGCGTCGGGCGCGCAAAGCCCATGTCGGCGAGGGCACGGAGGAGGCGCGCATCGAGGAGATGCGAGAATTGCGCAAACGTAGCCTTGGCGTCAACGAGCCGTCCTTCGACCATCGTGCAGTGCGGTGCCGAGGTCGTTTGGCACAGTGAGGACGAAATTTCGTCGGACTTTGAAATCGCGCTTTGATCTCGATCGCTTCTGCTTCGGGAATCGCACTTGTGCTTATGGCCTCAAACTCGAGTGCGCCTGCTGAACCCCTCAACCAGATTCCTTGCGGGATGTGCGTACATATTGTGTGGCGTTTATATTACGGGAGTCTAAGTTTGCTGACACTCCAGCTGTCGGCGACAGTTTTCAAAGTATATTTGCCCGAAATGCAATGTAACATACTGTTCGCTGATTTGTTTCCGTTCCGAGGTGCGTTCTGGCTGATCCTCTTATGTCGTATACCTGGCTGCTGACAGCTATGAGCAGGCCCACGCAGAATGTTCAGAATCATTCTATCGCAAGCAGGTCGAGACAGACATCAAAACCGAGCCGTCCAAGACAGCCGAGGAGCGTCTGAAGATGATGGAGCTACTTAAGCGGTTCGAAGAAGATACACTGGATGACGAAGGCAATATCATGAAAGAGTTGGCTGGTGCTGAGGGCGACGAGGACGGTGACGACCTTGCAAGCAGATTGGGCAACGTCGATCTCGGTGCGTATTCGTCTGTGCGCGTGAGATGAAGGGACTGAATGAGATCTGGTCCTTCTTTCAGAGTCAGTATCCCCAGACGAGCTGTGGTCCATGCTCACGCCCGAAGAACGAGACAAATTTATCAAAGCGCTGGACGATCCTACCAGCGAGCTGGCCCAGCAACTCCTGGCGAGCGAAGAGCTAGAAAAAGTCCGCACCGAGCCATGGTGGGAGAATCCCGATGCCTCTGTCATCACTGAAGACAGTATTTCGCCCGCTCCCGTTGATCACCGCTTGCAAAAACGGTACGGCAAGAGACCCGCGATAACCCTCCACGTTCCCTCGGGCATGGTCAAGGCCCCGTCAAGCTCCAGCACATCACTATTATACAACGCGTGTGCAATGTGGTCAGTCATTTCCCCGCTGTTTGACATGCGAACGCGAAGCCTAATTCACTTATTGTAGCATCGCATACGCATACGCCACACGTCACCTGAGCGTCTCCCCCCTCTCCTCCGCCTCTGACGCATTGGACGTCGCCGAGGCCCAGCGCCTCATCTCTTCCCTCGTGCCGTTCCTCGTTGACCGCAAGTCGACTCTGGTTCACCCGAATATGAGTAGCGTCGTCACAGACCTATGGTCCCGGTTTGGCCAGGTAAGTCGCAAGATAGCATACTAATATCAATGTGGCAGGAGTTATCAGATATAAACTGAGTATTGCTATCTTGGTTTCAGGGACAGATGAGGCCGAAGCTTTTCGCGCTGCTTCTCCGTGACACCGCGCGTCTTATGCGACCCAGCAGAGTGATCGAGGTGCAGCCGCCAGAAGCTGGGAACGACACTGTCCTCCTGGGAACCCACCCAAATGCAAATGTGTTCCGTGTATTCTCGGACCTGGCGCTTCTATTCGAGAACAAGAACGTCACCAGTCCAGCCGCACCTCGACATGCTAATACCAAACCGAAGCCAAAACCTAACCACGTCACACATAAGCTCACGTTCTACTCCGCGCATGTCTTATCTACTCCGTCATTCATCCTCGACGCCCTCGCCAATGAAGCAGTGGCGCGGTCCAACGCGATGGACACCGAAGATGCGCCGCTGGAAGGTGACGTTCATCCGAAGCGGGAAATAGAAGATATGGCGGGAGCGAAAAGAAAGAAGGCTCCGAGTCAGGTGCAAGGGCCGTTAATCGAAGAACTGTAACATTATATGGGCTGCCTATCGAAAATATGCTGGGGCAAACGTATGTAAATATTTGACCGGCGTTGGCCTCCGGTGTCTGCTGGTGCGTCGTGTGCCACCATTTAGGCTACTACGCCCAAGTAATCGCGATCAAGCCGATTAGATGTGGCATCAGTCCAGGGTATTGAATGTTTGGCGACGGTGGCAGGTACCCTCGCAGTCGGCGGCAGCGGGAAAGCCACAGCTTTGACAGCGGAGGCACGAAGTATCCCAAGGGATGGCGTCGCCGAGGCTGAATTTGCCTGGTCCCTAGCCTTCCGACACGGTACGCAGCGCTATGCGCTGTCCGTTAAGCAGACAAGTGCTCCTTCGTTTAGCGGATGGTGCTCCTCCCTGGGCGCAAGCCAGAGCATGCTGGGTGTGTACCTTGTCTTTGTGGCGTTTTCCCGGAACACGGTGCGGCATGCTTGGACAGGACGTGGGGCTGGCCCCTTCTGACCGTGTAAGAATTACTTGTACTGACCTATGTCAAACCTTTCCGGACCAAATATCCTGATGATATCCCCGCTTTGGCAGTCTGTGAGCAATGTTGATTGTCTCTGGCTGGAGATACTTAGTCTCTCAATAGCTTTGAGAGAGATGATTGAATTCAACGTGACAGCAGTGCCTGGTTCAACTTACACGGAGCGCTCTCAGGCTGTCTCGACGACTGCGAAGGTACTCTCCCGCTCTGATTGGTCAGTTCCCACGGCATATGATTGGTCCAAACATACTTACCATATCCGTCGACCAAACCGTCGTCAGGGCAGTGAGTGCTTCAACAAATTTCAAGAAAATCAAGGTCGATTGTTACCATTCCGCAAGTCCTAGAACTTGCCTGCCTCCGTCATGTCTGCCGTGGTGTGTACGAGTCCGAAGCGTGCCGGTGGCAAGTAGGAGAGCCAGACGCCGGAGCCGGATTTGTTTTGGCGGGGTACCGCACCAGTCGCGGGTAAAATTGACATCAACACCCAGCGCGGACGCTCTTCTGTCCCGAAATGTAATATCTACGGCACCCCGTATATATGTCCCTGTGCTCGTTACTCCTTCAGACATACCAGCTGTGCCTAGTCGTTTGTTCCCTTTCATAACCGACTAGCCTCCACCAACAGCGTCTCTTCAAAATGTCGAGTACCGAGAACGCCGCGCCCACCGCAAGTGCCGACCCCAGCGACTCTGGCGACGCGGTCTCCTGCGACCCTGGCGGAGGAGCTGACACCTACTTCGGCCTGAGGGTCGCGTCGGTGTTCATTATCCTGGTAGCGTCGAGCTCGGGTGCGCTCTTCCCGGTCATCGCGAGGAGGACCAAATGGATGCGCATCCCGAAGTCGGTCTTTGAGTGCGTATCAGTTGCGTACTGTGTTTATCCAAACGCTGACTTTGCCGTTTTCAGATTCGCCAAGTACTTTGGTTCTGGCGTCATTGTCAGTAACTCTCAGTGGATAATCCCGATGTCTTGATATCTTATCGTTTTGGACACAGATCGCTACCGCCTTCATCCATTTGTTGGACCCTGCCTTGCAGGAACTGGGTAACGCGTGTCTGGATGAGAGCTGGAGCGAATACGTGAGTACAGTCCTGCCTTCATCTATGCCGTCATCGTAACCTCTCTGCAGCCCTATGCCCTCGCCTTCTGTCTGATCAGCATCTTCGCAATCTTCATCGTCGAACTGATCGCGTTCCGCTGGGGCAGCGCGAAACTCGCGAAACTCGGCATCGCGACAGACATGCACAACCACGGCTTTGGTTCAGGAGAGCCCGGCCCCGAGCACCAGCATGGCGAAGTGACGGAGGGCGCTCGCGAAAAGCCCATCAGCGACTCCGAGTCGCAGCTCTCCGACGTCGACGCGGACTACAAGGAGGGCCTGAGGGCAGGCGCGATGAAGAGCAACGTACTCGATACCCCGTCTGCCCAGATCATCGGCATCGGTATTCTCGAGTTCGGTATCGTCCTGCACAGCGTCCTGATCGGCATGACGCTCGCCGTCGACCCCGATTTTACCACCCTCCTGGTCGTCATCGTCTTCCACCGTAAACACATTCCCTCGCTCTTGCGTTCCGACGTTGCTGACTTAGCACTGCAGAGCTGTTCGAGGGTCTTGGTCTCGGCTCACGGCTGGCGTACATGAAGCTGCCCAGCAGGCTCAACTACGTCCCCGTCGTGGGCGCGATCCTGTACGGGCTGACCACTCCCATCGGTATCGCCGCGGGCCTCGGGATCCGCTCGTCGTACAACCCCAATACACCTAGGGCTAGTATCACCTCCGGCGTCTTGGACTCCATCAGCGCGGGTATCCTGATCTACACTGGTCTCGTCGAGGTGAGATTACGTTCACCTCTCCCCCTCTCGGGTGCGAGTATGAATGGACGCTGACGAGCGCGCGTTTATAGCTCATGGCACATGAGTTCCTGTTCAGCCAGGAGATGACCAAGGCCTCCGCGAAGAAGCTCACCTACGCCATCGTCTGCATGTGCCTCGGGTGCGGCCTCATGGCGCTCCTCGGGAAGTGGGCGTAAACCCCAGCTTTGCCACCCCTCTCACGACACTGGACTCTCATGCTTGTACCCGATATTTATGCTCGGTCTTGTTTTTGAGTCAGCCTGTTGCCACGTTACGGGTTTTAGTTAGAAGGAAACGCCTGTTGTAGGATATGTTGCTTTACGATTAGAACATATTGCGTAATGATCACCAAAGTATTTGGAGGATTCTCAAGGAGTGATGCTTCATGTCTTGGATCGTAGCAAGTCCCCAGATTTCCGGTGGTGGTATGCAAATGTGAACTTGAGCTCGTTAGATAGGCCGTACTCTATTGACCTACTGCATGATCTGTGTACAGTTCAAATAGAAGGCACCAGTAATGGATGCTAGTCGGGATACAGATTATGTGGTCTTTTTCTGTGTTTCAGCACTTAGTCCTGCCTTCACCAGCGAAGACACGCGCATAGCCATGTCCACTGTCATCAGCAGCGGGAGTAAGAAGAACGGCAAGTAACTCGATAAGAGGAGCAGGCGCTGCGCTGGCGTGATAGTCACGTATGTGAGAGCCTCACTGGACGGTGTCTGGACGAGCGGGGTGGTGAGGATTACGGAGAGGCAGGGCAGGGTGGTGGTGGTAGTGGAGGCGGCGTAGATTAGCAGGAGGGGGTATATAGAGCGGTTTCCTTGGGGACGCACTCAGTTGGGGATCTGAGTACGGGGGTGAAACGTACCTTTGTACAGAGCGCGAGCGCCGAGTACGAACACTGGTAATTGGAATATTCTAGCGGAGCGAGCGTTTAGAGTGCGCCGGGAATATTCAACGTGAGACTTACGCTTCGAGGAAGAGGAAGGTCTTGAACCAGACGTAAGTCTCCTTCGTGCCAAAGTATCCCATCCCGCCCCCGATCAAGGGGTCCCCGGACATCTGCACGTAGAATACGGGCAGCTGGGCGATAAGTTTCGGGACCATCGTCGTGGGGTAGATTGCTTGCAGGTCAATTAGCAGGGTCGCTGGAATATGCATCTACACAAGAACTCCAGCTTTTGCTCGATGCCGGGTGCAAGACAAGTTCATGATGCTTACCAGGAAGAATAGGAAATAGACCAGGTCCAGAGGACGCGACTTCAGCGAAATGCGCTCAGCCATGTTGATCGCCTGCGTCTTCTGCCCACTTTCGCTTGTTTGTGCGCGTCCCTGAAAGTTAGAAGACGGCGGACGCGTCCAGCTGGCGACGTGCGGCGTTTAAGAGGCTTAAAGACACGCTTCAAGTTATGTTACATGTTATGTATGAATGAACGGTTACTTGACAGGAGACCGAGTAGCCGGACGCGGTCAAATGACTTGATTGAGCCACACCGTGCCACAACTTTCTGCACGTTAACCTCTACCATCCCTGACGATGACAAATGTACAGCCTACTGCAATATTCTTTCCGGCTCCAACGTCGAGATACTGGACGCGGAGCAAGGCGATGAACTTTTTGAAAGTCAGCTACGATGTCCAGGCCGAAATTCTGCAGTATCTCTTGCCTCAAGAACTCGCCAGTTGCTCTGCCACCTCCAAAAGAATGCATCGACTATGCGTCCCCTTCCTTGCATCTGGCGTTATTATTAAAGGAGAAGACGCGCTTTCTTTCGCGAACCAAACCCTGGCCTTCTGCCGCTGGATACAGACTAAGAAGTCGTCAGAGGGCACTGTCGACCGGTGCACTTACCTGCGGAGTCTGGCGCTGTATAACCTTCGAGAGGTCTGGCTGCAGAATCAACCCCCGGACGAGTCGCTCAAAGCTGCGTTGTCTATGCTCACTGAGGTCTTGGCTAAAGCTACCAACCTGCGCCATTTCTCAGTCTCCGGCTTTGACATCTTGCTAGCGACTTGCCCCAGGATTAAAGATATCCTATCGCACTCTTGTGGGTCCCTTACGTCCATCTGTATTGGAGAAACAGGTCCAGGGCCGGCAATTCTACGAGTCTTATGGAAGCTCAAAGGCGTTCCTGGCATCCACCTGCGAGCCACCTCGGGAACTCGTGAACAGATATCTTTTATGGAGTGGCTCAGGGAAAAGAAACTGATAATACCGTCCATGGAAGCTGGCATAAGGAAATCTAAGGTCAAGACGTGTTTTCCCAGAACGCAAGAGCTGATACTGGAAGGTATTGCAATACCGGCTGCTTTGCTATCGTACCTCTTCCCCAATATACGACTTCTGATTTGGATGGAGGGATATTCTATTCTAATGCCTTGCCAATGGAGCGGTCCTCGCGCTGCCCTAAAATGGGATTCTTTGGACCGCCTTATGAGCGACTTCCTCACTGTAGCTCACCGAGGAGTCTTCTGTCCTGTTCGGCGATTGGATTTATGCTTTCCTCGAATTAATGGTTCTATTTTCAAAGTGCCTGTCGAGAAGTTCGAGGAATACCTCCTGGAGACACTGCAGCGCACATCCCCAGTTGCCCTATCCGTATGCCTCCACACACAGGCAAGTAACGGGTTCTATGAACGGGTGGCTCGGGCATGCCCTAGGCTTAAGTTCCTCGAAATATGTCTAGCGCCCAACTCAAAGTTTCTCACTCCTCCGAGCGGCCAGGTCTTCCCTGAAGTGTCTGCAGCCGACGTATTGGTGCGATTCTCTTGTCGAATAGTGCTCACGTCGTAGTCTGAACTCACTTCCATAGCCCGCTTTATGCAAAGGTCTAGCGTCGGTGCAAATTGCGTACATGAGCGTGCTCTTCTTCTCGAGAGACTTCATCACGAAAGATATGGCCGCGAGCATAACTACGGGTATCCGGTCGCTACAATTTCTGGAAGTGATGAATTTCCAGGAATCGATGGATCTCAGGCTGGAAAAGAGGTTGGTCTGGTACGAGGTAAAGAGCGTTGCGGGAGGGGAACGCTGTGTAATGGAAGTGGATGAGAATCGTGGCAAAGCCTGGCGAGAGTACTGGCAGAATCAGTAGTGGGATATTTTCGCACGTCATGTATCCTCAAAATGTCTGCTACAAGGTACTCTTTGTATTGTCTATTGTATCTCAGATGCTTGCAGTATAAAGACGACGAACATATATGTAACTTGTATTTAGGTTGATTTAGGTCATCAAGCTCTAACGGCCGTCCGGGCCGGCGATCCGATTTGAAAATTTGTCCGACACTGTTGAACTTGTGAAGCGCCGTCTGGCGCCGGCAACTTACCCCTCCTTTGTTCAAGAAATTAACCTTGAGAACTTGCCACTGAGGGCTGATGTTCCGCCGGCGGACATGTAAAAGGCACCTCCGGGGTGGGAGAACATCTTCCTCGAATGGTCCTTGCTGGACCATATCCCGGACATGCAGAATGTCCTTTGAAGGAACAAAAGAAGTTCTGCAGTACATTTACCATGGTCACTAAAATATACAGGACATTCAATTAGCATTGTCTTGTCATTCTTTATGTCCTGTCTCATGTTCCGCTGAGAAACATCCAAGGAAGGTGTTCTCCCACCCGTCCCATGAAAGACCAATGTCTGGAGGCGGGACATCAGTGCTTGCCCGCAGTGTGCACTAAGTTCAAGATGTTGTGGCTGCTGCACGAGGTCGGCAAATCATCGTAAGGACAGTATTTCTACCATGTAAGATAATGCAAGGGATATTGTTAGTAATATATATAGGGGACCCGGTTCTCTTTCAGTCAAGCTCCATCTAGGGCCAGGTAGAATGTCCTGTGCTGTTGTAGTCTAAGAGATACTTATCCCCTCACCAAGAATGCCTAATGGTGTGTATCTCTTGCCTGGACATCTGGCATCCATCTCACATCATAGTTTTATCTTACAGTCTGTTGGGCCTCATGATCATAAGCCATGGAATAACATGGAATTTCTTGATTCTACTAATTTGTAAATTGTCCATCACAGACTTATGTATGGCATGGAAACCCAGAAAACTAGAATGATTGAATACACATGTTAGATGGAGTGCACATACACTCAAATCCTTCTCAAGCCAACACTCAAATATTTTGAGGTACAAGGATCTATGTTTAATACTATGCTCTCTGAGTTTTACCTCATAATAGGTCTTCACCTGTACCTTGTGGCATCCACAAACCAACACTAATTACATAGTTGAGAGGGACTTGAGTGTGAACATTGAGATGCATGCCCAACCATGGCTAAGTCCTTGTTCAGTAAGGGCGCCACTAGAGCCAAACATAGCACGCCGGATTTTGCCGGTGCGACGAAAAGTGCGACGCAATTCAAGGGTGCCAGAACCCCTCCCAAAGGAGGGGCATTCGAGACGATTGCAACTTGCAAGTCTGCCTCCACTTGTATCAACTGGCCACGACGCCAATGTACAGCCTATTTCAATATTTCTTTGGAACGTTTAGCTTGGAACAAAGCACGACTATCAGGAAAAAACAACTCTTGGATGTGAACTACGATGTGCAGGCAGAAATTCTCCAGTATATATCACCCAAAGGACTCGCAAGTCTCTCGGCCAGCTGCAGAAGGCTACATGAACTCTGCGTGCCTTTTCTAGCCTCTGACGTTACCCTAGGCGGAGAAGATTGCCATTCTATCGCGAGCCGGACTATAGCATTTTGCCGCTGGATACAAACTAGGGATTCGTCCGGCGACTCTGTTAATCGCTGCGTTTACTTGCGGTGCCTGACGCTCCACAATCTTAAAGTCATTGAAGTCTGGCTAAAGAACGACTGGCCGGACTACTTGATCAAGGATGCTATGTCTCTGCTCACTCTTACTCTATCCCAGGCGAAGAACCTACAGACCCTGAATGTCTCCGGCTTTGAAGTGCTGCTCAAGGTCTGCGCTGGACTTGAAGATACCCTCTTGCAATCTTGCCGATCCCTTTCCACCATCAACATCCTGGATTCGAGGACTGGGCTTCGAGCTCTGCGGCTTCTGCTGAAGCTCAACAAACGCCTCCGTTCCGTTTCTTTGCGAGCTATTCAGGGAACTACCGACAAACTCACATTGTGGTATGTCCTCACGGACCTGAAATTAGTACGGATGTCTGGGGAGGGAAATTCCAGGAAAGCCAAGGTGACGCCGTACTTCCACGAAACGCGAGAAATAGCTCTCCAAGGCGTCGTGATACCCGCAGCGGTTTTGTCTATCTTATTCCCCAAGGTGCGGCGGGTGACATGGACGGAAGGCTATATCCGTCATACACCTTTGAAGCCTACTGGCGATGGCGCGAACTGGCAGTCTCTGGACTTTCTCCACAGTGACATTCTCACTATACCTCATCAAGGGTTGTATTGTCCTGTTAGGCGGCTGGAACTTCGCTTCCCTGATCTTCAGGGTTCTGCTGTTAAAATGAGCGCACAGTTGTATGAAGCCTGCCTCATGCAGATACTACAACGCACGTCCCCGGTGGTGCTGTCGGTATGCGTTCCCACTCTTGCAAGGAGCAAGTTCTTCGAACGAATGGTCCACGCGTGCCCTCGGCTCAACTTCTTGGATATATGTCTGACGCGTGATGATTTGCTGCTCAACCCTGCGAGCGGGCACGTTTTCCCCAGAGTACGCGCGTCTCAGTTTATGGTGCAGTCCTCTCACTGAGTTATGTCGCCGTATTATTCTGAATTTAAATCTGACAGTCCGCCTTATGTGGCGGTCTGGCGGGTGTCCAAGTTACCTTTCTGTCTGTGTTCGCCCTCACCGGGGAGGCTGCCCCTTTTACGGAAGACATGGCTCTCAAACTGGCGCAGGGAATCCCTGCTCTGCAGTTCTTATGCCTCATGCCCGTAGTCGAGAATTCAAAGTCGTTCTGGTACGAGGTAAAGACCACCGCAGGAGGGGAACGTCAACTGACGGAGATCAGCCCTGACCGCGGCCGTGTCTGGCGAGAGTACTGGCGCAATCAATAATACTGCCATGTCTTACATTCTATCTATCCTTACAATACCTACCACGACGTCGACAATATCCCTGTATCATATTGTATCATACACATTTTATAGAGTACGGTAACTGAGACCAGTTGAAGCCCGGCCGCGGCCGGCCTTCGACAGAGTGTCGACGCGAGCGCGACTCAAACTTGCAGCACAACTGCAACCACACCTACCATACATCGCTAAAGCTGCTTGCGTTCCGCCTGTGTCAGGTAACAAGGCGCCAGTGTGTATCTTTCTTTGCCTGGAGCAGGAACCATGGCCATGAAATCGCGACTACTGGAAGTCAACTACGATGTGCAAGCCGAAATCCTCGAGTGTCTATCAAATGACGACCTGGCGAAGTTCGCCGCCACCTGTAGGATGACCAAACAACTGACTGCTCCGTTCATGGCACGCAGCGTTGTCCTGAAAGGAAAGGATGCGATGTCTTTGGCAACGATGATACTTAGCTTCTGCCGCTGGATGGTGAAGACCAGGGATACCTCTGGGCGTTCTGTCAACCACTGCCATGACCTCCGGATATTGCAGATCTGTGACCTAACAACCTTCATGCCATGGATAGGCGATGGGGGTTCCCAGGCTGATGGTTCCCCAAAACGTGCTATATGTATGCTTACCTATGTCCTATCTCAGGCGATAAATCTCTACAAGCTAGACGTGGTTGACTTCGATGTCCTGGTCAAGGCTAACCCCATGATTGGGAACGTCCTCGCGCGCTCTTGTCGACGCCTTTCGGGTGTTCATCTTCTCTATGCCAGCGCAGATTCTCTTAGGTCTCTCGGAGTGCTTAGGTGGCTTCGTACCATATCCATAGACACAAGGGGGCGAGGGCGGTTCGGCAGCCCCAGCCGCTTCGGTAAAATGCTCTGTAGGGTGCAATGCACGGACCCGAGGGGAGGTGTTAACCTTGGAATGGGTGCCGAGACTCCATACCGAAACTGGCCGAACATACAACAAGTGTTCCTCGAAGGCATCTCAGTGAGTGCTGCGGACCTCGCTCTTGCGTTTCCAAAGGTCCGACACTTGTTGTGGTTCGCAAACGACTTTGACCCGCACCAAGCTCCAGACACAAGGAAGAATAACGTTTGCTGGCGTTTGCTGGAGTTCCTCCGCAGTGATGCCTGGACTATATATCAGTTGAAGATCTTTTGCCCGGTCAAACAACTCGAGATTGTGTTCAACGTGGATCGAGCTCGCTACCTGCTATCCAATCTGGAAGAGGCAGAAGATCAACTTCTCCAAATATTCAAGCACTCAAACCCCGTCTCGTTGACTGTGTATATCCATATGGGGGTAACCAAGGTCTTCCTCGAGCGAGCTGCTCGCACACTGTCTCGTCTTCGGTTCTTGGAAATTGTGCTTGTCCCGGATGCGCTGATGATCAAGCCGCCGGATGGACGCGAAGAAGTCTGCACGAGCAGCGTTGTGGGGATGGCTCATGTTGTAGTGAGAAGTATTTCTCGCTACATCCGGAAACGCTGTCCTGACACACCGTTCATGTAGCGCAAGTTATGCCATGGTTTCTCAGGCCTACAGGCGGCCTACCTGTGCATTACTGTCGCCCCAGGAAGTGAGCCCATGCAATTCCGGAATTATGTGCCTTACAGATTGGCGATGTCCATCCCCGCTCTGCGGTTCTTGAAGCTTAATGTGATGGGCGAGAATTCCTGGTGCTACGAGATAAAGATCACCCCGGGAGGTCATCGACGAGTAGTACCCGCCGATGGCGGCGCTTGGTGAACACGCTATATGTAATCATGGGTTTTTCTACACCTTATTCCTTCGCCGCTATCCAGCACAACACAACACCACGTAATATCCGAATGTTTTTGTATTTTAGCCAATCTTCTTCAAATGCGAATCCTGCATACATCTATGTATAATGATATTAGTAAAAGCTAAATATGCCCTTCCCTAGTCCTTCATCCACTATATGCTACAAGTCCATCGAAAGCATCGAACGCGCTCCTTAAGAAAGGCCGAATTTCTTCCTTTCCGCCACCGTCCAGTTGAATACTGGGAACGGATGTGCCTCGGTATTGAATACCCACTTATCGAGCGGAACTAGGTCCTCATTGTTGAATGCGAGATACAGATACTTCAAACTTTAGGAAAACCAGGTGTCAGACAGAGCACGGAAATTGATAAGCAGGTCTGTCACTTACGTCTCGGCCAAGAAATAACTGGGCATTGAGTTACCCCGAGTAGGAGGGTCTCTGTGGACCGCCTTGATGATGGTATACCCTGTCTCCGTTTTAGTTTCTCTCTCGATGGCTTCGAATATAGCCCAAGCACGATCCCGCCAACGTTCATCACCCGTTGTACGCCACATGAGGTACAGACTCTCGATCGTCTGCGGAACCAAGTCAATCACAACACAGCACATTTCAGAGGGCGAGGAGTATACCTCAGGACGCAATAAGTACTCAGTTTTCCTCGTCGCATAGTCCCTTGCGTGACCCTCCCGGGGTCCATTACCGTTCTCGTAGTCATCATACACAACAGGTGGCCTGTCCGCCGTCCCCGGAGGCGCACCCCTGGCCCCGCTCTTCCGCCACTTCTCCACCGCGTCGTACCACCGCCCGGCACCCCAGTCGCCCTCCCGCCCGTGCGTGCTGTCCCGGAATGTCTCGCTGCCCTTGCGGGGCACGGCGTCCATGACGACCTCGTCCGGGCCGAGCCCGCTCTTCTGGTCCGCGTACGTGAGCCAGCACGTCTGCGCGAGGCCCTCGGCGACCCAGAAGTGCAGGTCGCGAAGGTTGTATTTCGTGAGGAGGGTGAAGTATTTCTGGCGCAGCTCGGAGGGGAGGCCGGCAATGATAGAGGAGGTGGAGATGCCCAGGTCGGAGAGGCGGTCGAGCGGGAGGGAGTATGCGCCGAGGGCGAAGAGCCCCGGGAGGAAGCAGGAGAGATGCTCGAAGACGCGGCTCGGGTTTTGGTTGTTACCTTGCAGGTCGGTAACGTATAGAAGGCGCCGAGTAGGGGATAGGTAGAGGAGATTAGTGATGATGTAGTTCGTTGTGCGAAGGTCTGCGACAGTCTGGTTAGTTCGTACACCGGGATTTCACCTGCATCAATGCTACTCGCATAATTCCAAGCTCCCTTTGTCATGTCTGGCTTCCATCAGATATTGCTTGAGCAGATATTCATGCGCGCTGTCGGCCGCTGCACCGACGGATACTTGGAGTACACTCTGCCACGGCTGCCCAGAGGTGACGTTCCACCTAGTTGGCAGCATGCCACCAGTCTTGCTCACATCACTATGCTCGAGTGCTCTAACAATCGTGTACGCCTTTGATCTAACGATGAGCCACGCCGACCTGCGTGAAAGGGCAATAACTGCTTACATGGTCAAGATGCTCTTTCTTTCCTGTCAATTTGGCAAGGTAGGAGTACTCAAGCTGACAGCTCGCGATCTCGGCAAGCACGCCGATCTCACTGCCTTTGCCTCGGCGACTGCAAGGAAACGGCGTAAGTAAAATCATTCGTTGTACGTCAGGGGTGAAGAGGTTCAAGCACGCAATGTGAACCCAGGTCATGTCTACTACGTATCTACGTCTGGTGGAGCGAAGAACTCACGCTGATGGGCTCACTGAATACAGAGGGAGACCACTCTTCGAGTCGAAGGCAGCTGCGAGCGAAGTCGTCAGGTCCTCCGCGCGGTCGAGAAGCATTCGCTCCCTCGACATGGCGTATGCAGAGAGTAGACCACCCAGATATCGGATCACCGTCTCAAAGAACGGGACGTATTCAGAAGGCTTCGCAGGACGTCAGCCGTGTATTCAAACATTGGGAAGGAATAGGGACGTGTAGTGGTACCAATATTGGACATATAGAAAGGAATAGGAACATACAGTGACAGATGTGAAGTTAGTACGAGCGATGATGGGCAGTGCTCGTTTGAATTCATCGTCCAGGCCCATGAGGAGCATGGTGTCAAGAGAATCGTAGACAGACACGCCCCAGCCATTGAAGCTAGCGCAGAGATAGGTTTAATACCTTCCTAATGCCTCAGATAGTAACTCACTTGTCCACTGATCCAGCAGTCGCGGGCAACAACTCATCATGAGGCGCAGCGTGCTCCTCATATCCATGATAAGCATGCACAAACGCCTGCTTGACCTGCTCGGCTCTCGCTTCCCACACTGCAGGTGGTGTCGAGGACCTGAAGATCTCTCGCGGTATGGACAAGACATCCGTGGGTCCCAACGTTATGGAATAGAGCATGTACAGCACGACGAGACATCCTGCAGCAAATCCAAGGTAACGAAAGCCCAGTCTCTTGTTCGTCAGTGTGTTCCGTAGAGCCACAGCGACCTGATTGTAGTTGTCTCCGAGCATAGCTGGTAGCCTTCCTCCGCGTATTTCGCGATTTTATAGACTCGTTCTCAGGCGGAATACAAGCTGGACAGTCATGCAAATTAGGCAGTACCGGGGGGTATCAGAGGTGCAATGAAAGCAAGAAAGAGCAGAAAAGAAAGGGCAGTCGGGGTGTGTACACCGCGAGCTGCGTAGGCCAAGAGGGGGCCGAGCAGCAGCTATTTATAGTGCTACCTTCCGCCACCGACATTATATAATTCGTCCCCGTTATACCGAGTCTTCACGTCGAGGGCCTTCCTTGTCTGAGAGACCGACGAGCCTTGCCGAGCGTCCAGAATAATTAGAGTGTTTATGCCGACGAGCTGGACGCTGCGGTCGGCATAACAGTTGCTTGTCGGTGCCTTGCCTGTAAAGGGAAGGCTGAGTTCAAACCATCGCCTTTGGATCATCCCACTCGGGCTGGAACGAACCTGGTCAGAGCCTCTGCTGGTCGAACACTGGAGCAAGCATGTCTGGCTTCGACAAAATCATCAAAGGCGCGTGCAAGCCCAAGGCGGCACCGCCGAAGTCCAAGGTGCGCAGAGTGCTATGGTTTGCGGGTGAGAATACAGGCTGACTGCCAGCAGTATGTCGAGCCTCTCATCGCTGCGACGTGGTCAGATGATGGAGCAGTGGGGGACGTGTGCAAGGCATTGTCTCCCAAGTTCAGGGAGCCCAACGCAGTCGTACGCATGTTACCATGTGAAAGAGAAACGAGTCTAAGCGAAGATTAGGTGGTATTCAAGGCCCTGATAGTCCTTCACATGCTGATACGCAACGGCGCGACCGACAACGTCCTCTCATACCTATCCAGCACGGACGTCCTACGGTTAAAGAATGTCGGAGCCGGACACTGGGAAGGTGCGTCTCTACCTCTTAATCGTTGGCGGACATGATCGGACGAGCATACTGGCTCCTTGGCAGGCTATAACGCTCCGCAGAACCTGCAGCACTATGCCATCTACCTGGACACCCGCATCCGCGCCTATCGGGAGACCAAGCACGACGCGATCCGCGTGCAGTCAGAGACGAACAGGGACCACCGGCTCTCGCAGTCGCTCGAGGAGGACGGCCTCGGACGCAGGCGGAATAACGGCGAATCAAGCTCCGCATCTGTACAAAGGAGCAAGACGATGGCAGGGCGGAAGTTGAGGGTGATGTCGGTCGAAAAGGGCTTGTTGAGGGAGACTAAGGCTGTTCAGAAACAGATAGACGCCCTCGTGGAATGCCGGGTGTGTATGCCCTTCATCATACCTTCGGTTTACTTATATCGGGGCAGTTCTATCTTGAAAACCTAGAGGACGATCTCACCGTCACGGCATTGCGCATGCTCGTGAAGGATCTTGTTATCTTGTTCCAGGCCGGGAACGAGGGGATGGTGAATGTGCTAGGTACGTTGGCAAATACATTCGCGTGGTGTACATTGACTTAGACGACGTGGCAGAGCATTTCTTCGAAATGTCGCATAGTGACGCGGAACGAGCTCTCAGTTTGTATCGACATTTCTGTAAACAGACTGAGCGGGTAGTAGAATATCTCGGCGTCGCGAAAAAGCTGCAGAATCTCCTGAATGTTCCGATACCCAATATGAAACATGCACGTTTCCTTCTGTTATGTATGTTGTGTCGGTACTGACTGCTTCCGTAGGCTCCGGTCTCCCTAGCAGGCGCCCTTGAAGAATATCTGACGGACCCAAACTTTGAACAGAACAGGATAGAGTACAAAACGCAGAAAGAAGCTGCTGAACGGAACGCCAAGGCTGGTAATAAGGGTACGGCGCCCAAGACAGAAGACAAGGGTATGTTCTCCGTTTTGCTTCACTCTGCATATATTCATGTCTCGCTCCTCAGCATCTTCACCCAATGCTTCGTCCTCGAACACGTCCTCCATGACGCCGTCCGTGTCATCTTCTAATGACACAGTGAAGCCAGAGAACAAGCAAGCCGTCATGGACTTCTTCTCGGCGATAGAAGAAGAACAGCAGACAATGTTTAATCCCCAGACTGGCAGGTAAGCCACGTCCTAAGATTCCATCGTGAAAGGAGATTTATCCGTATTGTCTTTCAGTCCGACGTCCAACTACTTCCAGCAACAAGCCCAGCACAACCCTTTCCAGCTGCAAATGCAAATGACAGGTGCTTTCCCGACCCAGCCATTCAGCCAGCAAGCGCCACCCCAGATGCAGACGCAGCCAACTGGGTTCATCCAGCCCCAGCAGACTGCTTTCCAGATCACAGCGCAGCCTACCGGCACGAATCCCTTTGGCATGCAAATGATGCAGCAACAGCAACCACAACAGCAAGCTCAACCGAACTTCCTGCGGCCCCAAGCGACAGGCTTCCTGCAGCCACAGATGACTGGAGCGAATCCATTCCGGCAGAGTATGCTCATGGCCCAAAGCACAGGGTTGCCGCTGTTCCCGATGAACACGGGTGCTGGAATACCCAACTTCTCGGGTCAGTCGACCAATGCGTTCCAGCAGCAGCAGTCGTCTCCGTTCTCCGCCACTCCTTCCATCTCTGCTACGTCTTCCGTATCCTCTGCGACATCATCTGCGTTCTCCCAATCGCCTTCGTTTGCTGCACCTTCTGCTCAGCAGCCGAACGCGAACGCGAATGGTGTCAATAACTCCAATTTGCCAGCCCGGCCTGCCACGGCACCGTTGTCTGCACCCTCCTCGAGCACTCCGCAGCCTCAGCCTGTGAAGTCCCACCAGACTGGATCAAGGAATCCGTTTGGTGTTCCTGTGACGCCTGCTCCTCCGGTGCCCCAGCCGCCTACTCTGATGGAGTTGATGATGGGGAACAAGTCCACTCAGTCTGGGCAGAGTGCAGGGAACAATCAGCAGCAGCAGCAGCAGCTACAACAACCCCAGCAAACTGGTCTCGCGAACGGCTTCGGGAGTTTTAGCGGGATAAATGGCAACAATTCCCAGGATAAGGCGGACATGGCGAGCGTTGCGTCTTCCTTCACGACTTTGAAGACAGGCGAGAATAAGACCGGATTTTCTGGGTTGCCTAACATCAGTTCGACGTCGTCGTTCGGGGCGTCGCCACTGTCGTCGCAGAATACTGCGACTACTGCGACATCCAGCTTTACAGGATCGACGTTCTCGTCTTTCTTGGGGAGTCAGCCCACAGGCGCGACGACAACTTCGGCGACTTCAGGGTCCCCCTCGATATCCGTTTCGTCCCCGACACTGAAGCCACAGACAACAGGCTTCAGTGGGATCAAGCCGTTCAAGCCTTCTTCATCTTTCGGCGCGCAGTTGCTGGACTCCTTGCCCCCCATACCACAGTCTGCGCCCACTACACCTAACAACGAAGGTGCTCCAACCTTGTCGTCGTCCTCTAGCTCGAATTTTGGGTCGTCCTCCACACCTTTCAGCAGTACTCCATCGTCCCAGCCTACTGGCTTCCGGGGGCTGTCTAATCAACCCACTGGAACATCGCCGTTTGGCGGGCTCGGCACTTCTGGCTCGTCACCGGGCGTCGGGCTGCGCCCGCAGATGACGGGAGGCGGAGCGGCCAATCCTTTTCGAGCAACCATGTTCTCAACAACATCCCCACCTCTACCTTCCTTCCAGACGTCGACACCGACTGGTGCTGGGTTCAGCTCCGGATTTGGATCTTCGCTCTTTTCGCAATCCACGGGCGCTCCTTCGTCGACAACGCCTTCCTTTGGCAGCAATTTGTTCAGCAGCTCTCAGCCACAGCAAGGTCAGCCCACACAAACGCAGCAAAATGGGCAGTCGCTCATATAGCGTCCCATATTTCTCGATATTATATACCATTCTTATGTGGATTCCCTCGTGCATTCTTTAGACAATCGTTGGGTTTCATGACTAGCTACGATACCGTAATTGTCTCACGTTCCTTTGTTTGTTCGTTTCGCCTTCATGTTTGCAAATACTGCCACTCGCCTACGGACTGTTTTGTCAAGTTTATGAGACGCGCTCCCTTGACGCGTCTCAAGCCACTCCCTCACTTGTACTCATACTCATCCTACATCTGCTACCTCTCTCTCGAACTACACAGTGCGAATATGTCTGAGTAAGTTTTTGATGTGACGTGGTGTCTGTAGTCCTTATGTGCTGTGAGAAGAAGACTGATGCCCTCAATACTACCAGCGCTGCTGCTAACGCAACGGAAACGACGGTTGAGCGCGAGATCGACCAAGCTAAGCGCGCGTTTGCTCTCAAAAAATACGAGGAGGCGGTAGATCACTATGCGAGTGCTCTGGAAATTCAGTGCGTAACACGCTCCGATATCCCTGGACGCGTCGCGTCGCGCCACAACAGGTCAACTCATCCACGCGTTTTCTCGTGTAGGACCACGAAATACGGCGACCATGCGCCTGAATGTGCTGATTTATACTTTTCTTATGGGCGTGCATTGCTAGAAAACGCGATTTCGCAAAGTTCGGTGTTAGGGAAAGAGCAGGCAGAGGAGACTTTGGCAGAACCAGGTTCGGATGCTTGGTGCCGAGGTCGAATTACTGGATGGTGACAGACTTTTGAACAGCTGCGGGAACCAGCAAGAATGGCCCCATCCTATCCTTCTCTGGTGATCCTGAAGATGACGAGGACGGTGCACTCGGCGAAGAGACCACTGTTGACCTGTTTGCAGAAGCAGTGAAGATGGAGCAAGAAGAGCGCGAGGATGAGGAGGAAGAGGGAGCGGATTTGGCTGAACCGGAGGACGACTTCAATGCGGCCTGGGAGGTTTTGGACCTTGCCAGGGCCCTGTATGACAAAATGCAGGATGAGGATGATGAAACGAAGCTCAAGCTAGCAGATACGTATATCGCGCTCGGCGACGTTTCACTGGAGACTGGTACGTTACTCGCTCTCAGCGAGCGCAGCAGAACGGATCCTTGACCACTTGCATAGAAAAATTCGATCAAGCTATAAACGATTACACCGCCGGCCTGGCTATCAAGACAGACCTGTTACCCATGTCCTCTCGACAGATCGCTGAAGCTCACTACAAGCTCAGTATGGTGCTCGATCTGACGTCTGGCCGGCTAGCAGATGCCATCACGCACGCCGAAAAGGCGTTAGAGAGCATTGAAGCCAGGCTAGCCGAAGTCCGACTGGGGCTCAGTGGCCAGCTGAAAATCGAGCCGCCGGAAACCGCTAAGACTGAGGATGTCAAGGGGAAGGGCAAGGCTACTGGCGGCCGTCTGAAGCGCGACGACGATGTGAAGGACATGACGAAAGGTCAGATGGAGTCAGAACTGAAAGATTTGCAAGGGCTAAGGGAGGACCTTGCCCAAAAGGTAGCCGGAATTACGGCCTGCATAGTTCTTCCATACTGACTGTAATTTTCAGGTTGAAGATCTCAAGACCAGTCCATCCGAGGAGAATGCATTGGAATCAGCTCCTGCCCTAGTCGCCAAGGCATTGGATAAGGAACTGGCAACGGCTCCAAGCGCATCAGTGCTCACACAGGTCAACGACCTAACTTCGATGGTGAAGAAAAAGAAAGCTCCGGATGCCAATGGAACAAACGGTGTAAACGGCACAGCTAAGCGTAAAGCTGAGGATGCCGCCGCTAGCCCTGATCCAGAGAAGAAACCACGGGTAGAAGAAACCCAGTGACTGACCTTCCGAAGTTTGCGGCCCTAGAGGTGGAAGTATCCTATCGTTCTCCATGTATCCTTAGTACTTTATTCGCTCCTGTTTCTGTCGTAGCTATCCGTGCATTATACATATATGTGAATATTCAAAATGGCAAACTGGAAGGGTTGATGTCTGCATGCTTGTACCTTTTCTTCCCTGCCCCGACGCCAAACTCTCCGACAACATGTCCCTGGCTGCCCTTGCTCCGCAAGATGTACTTGTAAATAACTAATCCCTCCAGGCCAACGGGGCCCCGCGCGTGGATCTTACCCGTACTGATCCCGACTTCAGTCCCGAACCCGTACCGGAAGCCGTCAGCAAAGCGGGTGCTTGCGTTGACGAACGTCCCCGCCGAGTCGACACCTCTACAGAATAGAGACGCGGCCTCTTCAGATTCCGTAACGATGCAATCCGTATGGTGCGACGAATGCGAATTGATCCATTGGATGGCTGAGGAAAGGGAGGGTAGTGAGACCACCGAGAGAGTGAGAGACAGGTGCTCTGTGGTATAAGACGAAGGGATAGACGAGTGCACATGGGTGCGAAGCTGAGGCAGCGGAGGAGAGATGTTCCATAGGGCTTTCAGCGTGGGGGGATCGCATAGGAGCTGGACGTTTGCTTGCACAAGTGCTTGGGCAACCATAGGCCAAACTGTGTGTAGCACCGATTCGTGAACGATTAGAGTCTCGGCAGCGTTGCAGGCGGCGGGATAGTCGACCTGCGAAGCCAAACATGATATTTGCGTCGTCCGCACCGGCAGCGCAAAAGGCTCACCTTGGAATCAACTACAACCCTGACTGCCTTCTCAGTATCCGCAGATTTATCCAGATAGACATTGCATAGGCCGTCGGCGTGGCCCATAACTGGTATCCGCGTGCTATTCTGGATGCTGCGAACGAGGCTGTTACTTCCTCTGGGGATAACTAGATCAATGTACTGATCTAGCTCGAGCAAGGATGACACTTCTGCTCGGGTTTGGATGGCTTGAATATAGGTATCGGGAAGACTCGTCCGTGCAAGTGCCCTCTGGATTGCTTGAGACAATGATACTACAGTATTGCTAGATTCTTTGCCCCCTTTCAGGATTGCAGCGTTTCCTGTGAAGAGGTCTAGGGGCAGGCGGGCACAGAAAGTGACTAGACGAACCGGATTTGACAGCAAGAGCAGCGATATTCACTACTACTTCGGGGCGAGCCTCAAAGATAACCAGAAGTACGCCGATCGGACATGTCACTCGATATAACTCCAAGCCGTCATCTAGTTCCGACGCGTATGTTATACGCCCAGTAGGATCAGCAAGGATGGCGACGTCCGTGATACCCTGCAGGGTAGATTCCCATTTGTCTCCTTTGTTCAGATCGAGGCGTTTCAGCAGGGACTCCGACATGCGACCCGCATCAACCTCGTGCTGGGCCAGCTACTATGCTTATTCGCTTTGTCTTTCTTTCAGGGTATGTCAGAAGATAACTGCACACCTCGAGGTCCTTTTTGTTAGCGGCTAGAATCTCATCTTTGCTTGCCTCCAGTTCCTTCCTGATTTCATTCAAGGCCGTGATACGCTCCGACGCTGGTAGCAACTGAGACTTTTCGAAAGCAGACCTTGCACCCGTAGCGATCGTTACGGCAGCGCTGTCCGTCATATTCTGGTGTCGTTGTGGCAATGAAGGGAGCAGAAGAGCAGTCACCGTTCGGTAGAATCGGTATTTGAATGGCGGGAGTCATTCTAATGTGACTGTGACTCGGACGATTTGGACGTGACCTCACGCTCAATTGCGAGGCAGCCACACTTTGCCATCTCCGAGGGTACATCTACTACCCCTGCATAATATTCCCTATCCGCTATGATAGTCACGAGACGAGAGAAAACAATTTTCCTATTATTTGTCGGACATTCCTTTGGAGACCGCCGCAGCTCGTTTTCTACGGGCAGAAGTTAGTTGCCAGACACTGGCAGACAGACCTTGGGTCATGGCGCGCACGTAAACTGCAGTCAGTGGCAGTGGGAGAGGAGCACATATTTGTGACTGAGACGGATTTTTGAATCTCAAGTCATAGCAGCATGACCGTGATTATGAGCTATGGCATTACATACACTTGGGAAGCCAGCTCCGGACGGGACAGTGGACAATACGGCCTAATACGACGGATTCAGGCGATTGAATCTGAGTCAGTCGAGGGGCACTACTTAGTGCCATCGTCGACGGCATTGATAGTTTCCCGCGAGGGCGACAAAGCCTCTACGGGGACATTGGAGTTTGACAGCTTGCGCGAACATACTGAGCATGCAGTGGGGATTGGACTACTGATTTTTCTTGCGCACTCGAAACAGCTTCATGGGAAGAGACGCTGTTGTTCAACCTTTGAGCTCAATTGTAGCTAACAAATGGACTGGGACTGGGCACGCACGTAGCTGCTGGTAAGACGCATTGGGTACTGAACTGTGGGAGCCACGCTGAAACATCTGGATCGGTGGTGGCTTCATGACTGGAATTCAAAAGTACAGTTAGTCTTGACGATGAGAAAGTCAATGACGAAATACACGAACAGGCCTAAGGGGCGCCATTTGTAGCTGAGAAGCCCGGAAACGCAGTGACAGGATGCAATCATACTGAGCGGATGACGTTAAATAGGGGCAGCCGGACACCGTATCACTGTTACCTGAGCACGAGAGCTGAAGATTCCATGAGCAAATCATATTGCAGCTCGTTAGACAGGGTGAGCGCACCGGGTATGCCGAGCATAATGTCCATTATCGCTGATAGTGGCGGGATGTGAGGAAGACTTTCAAATAGCCCGCACCGAACTTACGATTCAGACGCAATGCAGCGAATACCTACGGCCATTTATTGGCTTCTGGCGGCTGCCGGCAGGTGCTGAAAGGGATACGCACCGCTGAAAATACGTTGACGAATGAAGCAACGATGAAGTACCCCAAGCCTTGCACCACAAGGAGACGGCGTATGTCGGAAATTTGCCAATGAGGTGTGTCTTTGACAAGTCCGACTACTGCGCCGCACAAAACGACTAAGTCGAAAATCAACGCTAGGTCACGTATGGTGTGAGGTTTGTCCACTGTAGTCCGTCAAGGCAGAAATCTTACTGTATATGTAGCACGTCATTAGTCCCGAGTTGTAGATTCGTGCTGACATACAAATGCCAAACCGGGTACGGTTCCCAATGTGTATGAACGTTCCGGAAGCTGTCTCGGACGTCAGTCGAGACGACGGCAGCGGGGACCGACAGATACACCCACATAGGCCGAGGACGGCCCAATGACCAAGGGATAGTAGTGCTACTGACGCAGTTATCCATGGTTGGCGATTCCATATCATCAGACTTCCAAGCATCATTAGTACAGGAACGACGAGCCTGTGATATGCTAACACTGACGTTCGTATTGCTAGATTTAAGGAAGCGCATCCCGTGCCTATCGCTGTCGATATCTGCGTTGAACTAACGAGTCGATTCCTAGAGGAGGAACAAACTCTGTGAGTATGGCGTACCGTAAGGATATAGTACCGTCCTGCTGGCAGTGTGTTTTAGCAGGATTCGCTAATGATCGGAAAAGACGTCACCATCGCACTGGGTTGGTCCGGGATCGTGACGGTAGTTTATTGTATTCCTAAATAGAAATGGTGGGCACCAAAGAGAGGAGAGACGCCTTACGCTTACATCACGCTGAACATCGCGAGTAAGGAATAACGCCCCACGAAGTATGGTATCTAGCTGTATCATCAGGGTTGGCCATACAGTTGGAGCAAGATAGGCAGGCGGTACATATGGCCACTTGAATGGTATTTTGCGAGTGACGAGCCACCACTCAAACCACAGGGTTTGTAGGAAGTCGTACCTAATTAGGCGTGACACAAGTCAGCCAAGGAAGCAACGGTTACGATTCAGTACTACGACTTACAGATAGATGCCCATGAAGACGGGCCACAATCTTGCGTAGACTTCCGCATCTCGTTCCACTTCTGCGACGTCTTTCCAGTGTACCATGTCGAACGTCAGTGTAACAATCTAGCTAAGTATGGCTCGTTCGCGCGGAATGGCGAAGGGGCAAGCCTCGACGACATGAGCCTCATATACGAGCGTTGAAATTAAAGGGCCCAGTACAAGAACGTAATATGGAAGGCCCCTGCGGAATTCTCAGGGAGTGTACGGCATAAATCATGCAATGCAAGGGTGTCGGGTCATGCTTATCATACCGAGGGCATGGCGATGCTTCCCAGAGCCAATCTTTGGCAACTATAAAGGCAATGTTGCCCTATTATTGGCCTGTTGCGCCCAGTTGAGGCTGAGAGGCGAATATTTGGATCATCAATGCATCATGTCGGAGACAGTAAAGATGGAAGCTACAGTTTTAGGTGTGGGATGTCAGCTGTCGTTGCAAGACCTGCACAAGATGAGGACCCCGGCATACTGGTATATATGTTTGATCCTAGTGCGGACATAAACGGCCAATTTTGAGGCCCTATGTCGGATATTTAGGCGGACATAAAGCCCAAAATTTCGGTCCATGTCCGGTATATCACGGCGGACACAAGGGCCTTGCCGGTCTTGGTGTCCGATCACCTGGCGGACATACCAAGTCGTCGAAGTGTCACACCCAGTAGTCCTTGTACTAGGTTGAGTGGTGTCTCTTATGCTTCTCAGTCAACTGTCAGCTC